CGGTGCCCCTGCCACCAACCAGCCCTTGTCAGAGCTGCCGGGCACCTCACTGGTGATTTGCAGCCTGCTTTGAGTTAGAGCAAAAACCTAAAAATAAACAAGAGGTGCTGGGAGTCCTGGTCATTGCTTTATGTTAGGAAGATGTGATTACTTCACACCGGGCAGGGCTCTTGGGCCAGGGCTCAGCAGTGGGGACTCCCCCAGGTGCTAAGAACCGAGCAGGCAGGGCTGGGACCAAACCCCAGGTTTGAGCTGGGAACTTCCCAGCACTCGATGCTCAGATCAGGCAGTTTGGCTCAGATCTGTTGTCTAATTAAAACACAACAAAGCCCCATTAATTATTGTGAGGTCTTCCTCCGCGGCTGACAAATGTCCTGAAAATCACGGCTTCGAAGGCGATAAATCACTGCAACGCCTCTAATGGCTGGAGATATTTCATAGGAAAACTTCTGATCAGCTCTGGGAGAGAAGCAGAGTGTTCTCACTTCCACAAAGAGGACAAATCTCTGCTTTTTCTCCCTCGTTTTGGATGGCAGATGCTGCATGGAGTCGATGTGAGGAGGAAGGATCGGGCTGGTGCCGGGGTGAGGTTGTTCCAAAGGGTTTGCTCTTGTGTTTGCAGTTTATACAGTGCAGCCTGCCCTTTCGGTGACCCTTCCTATAATTCTGGGGGGTTTCTGGCAGGCTGCTGACCTGCAGGGGAGGTCAGGGGAGCGAGCCAGCCCGCTGCCCCACTCCTGGCCTCACAGCAATGAATCTTACAGGGCTATAAAAAGCAGAAAGGGCAGAATCCACCTCCAGCTTAGAAAATAATCACAGCCTCTTCTCCCCCCACTGCCAGCCCAGCCATTTCTCACGAGGCTCCGTTCTGTGAGACAGCTCCCCAGAGCCACCTCGCCCCGGGGGTGCATGCGGAGTTTTAGGGTGTGCAGGAGACATTTGGGGGGGCTGGGACATTTTGGGACACTGGCTCACTGTGAGGCTTGGAACCAAACGGGCACAGAGCTGGGGAAACACCTCCAGCATCTCTGAGGCTGCTTGGGGACAGCGGGGTGCTGCCAGGTGGCACTTGGGGACCCTCGTGGGGATGACAACGGCATCGGGCCATGAGAAGCTGAGACCAAGATGGGAATGAGACAGAGGGAACGGAGCTGGCCGGGGGCTTGTGTCTGAATTAGTGCCTAGGAGAGCAGCCCTGCCCCGGAGAGAAAGCAGCAGTGCCACGCAGAGACGGCAGCTGCTGCACTGATGACATCAAAATTGTTCCTTTGATCCGTCATTTTCCACGGGAGATTCTCTTCCTTTTTATTTGGCTTTAATTTCCTTTTTTCTTTTTTTTTCTTTTTTTTTTTTTTTCCATGTGCATAAAACACAACTAATGACAAACTGTGGTGCCTGTGAGTGACTGACAGCTGGAATAAGAGAAATGAGTAATCGTGCCTCCTGAAGCCCTGTCGCATGGAGATTAAATGAGCCCTTTTTTCTTCCCCCCTCAATGAGAATCATGGGCATTTGAATAATAATATTATAGTCTCCATTAGGATGACAGTGGGGGAAAAAAATCGGCTCAGACCTGTGATTATTCCTTCAATCTAATAATTATTTAAATACCAGATAACTCCTTTCAGCCTAATTGAGGCCTTTCAGCTGCTTGGGTTTATATTGTGTCCCTGAATTTACTCTCTCTTTTACCTTGCGTTACTAATAGCTTCAGATTGCTTTTAAAGCCATATTTTAAACTCGCTTCCAAAAAAAAAAAAAAATGGGGGTGGGGGGAAATTAATGGCCCAATAGTGTTAAGAGCCAGAGTTAAAAACACCTCCTCTCTCCTTTCCCTGGTGTTTAACTCTCCTGCAGCTTTGCCATCTCCGACCTCTGCCATCGGGTTTCCTCAGGTGCTCCGTGTCATCCCCACCCCGTTCTGTGCCACACGTGTCCCCCGGCGTGCCCTGTGCCACCCACGGTCCAGCTCCTTTGGGCAGGGGAGCTGCCAGTTCAGGGCCGTGCTGTGTCATCTCCAAGTGATGTTTGTTGGCACGGGTTCTTCGGGTTCTTCTCCCCGTCCTTGTTGCAAGGCACTGCATATGAGCGGGACAAAATTTCCTTTCCTTTCTGAGCTTCCCTTGAGTCCCAGTGCCCTCTGTCCCAGAGCCCTGCCTTGGCCACTTGGCTGTGTTCCCAAGGGCGAAGATGCGCAAGGTTGCGGACCCTGCTGCGGGCACCAGCGGCTCTCTGAGCCTTGAGAGCTGCTTGCTTGTTGGCCTTCTGGAAGCTTCTGGGGGCAGAGAACAGCTTCAGGGTGCTCCCCCAGGAGCTTGGCAAGGAGAGCAGGGATGGCTGAGCCGTGGGGCAGCGGTCGCTGGGTGCCACCCCGGGACCCCCACTATCGCCACGGCTGGGTTCGGGTGGGAGCTGGTGGGGGCAGCCACTGCTTCAGCCAGAGGCAGAAATCAAGAAGCTGGAAATAAGAAGCAAGCAGCTGGGGAAACGTATCCCTGAGCAGAATGAGAAACCCATTATCGTGCTCCTTCCCCTGTCTTGTCAGTGACACTGAAACGTGCAGCGCGGGGACAGAGCTCCTTTGTCACCTCTCAGGAACACCCGGCTCCAGCTCCCGGCGTTAACAAGCCTGGAGAGCGGCCATTCGGTGACACTCGCTTACGAGCTCGGTGTAGGTTTTCAGCAGCATGAATTATTTTAAATACCAAAACCGAGATCAGCATCAATCAAAGCGGAGGCTGCCGACAGCCCCGACAGCTGCACGTGGGGCGCGCGAGGGAGCAGCCTCCTGCGTGCAGCGCTGGGGGGGTGCGAGTGAGGGAGATGTGACCCCTGTCTTCTGAGGTTTTGCTGTGGTTTAAGTCATGTACGGCCCCACAGAAGCTTCCCCCTGGCTTGCAGAGCCATGGTGGAGGGCAAGAGGGAAGGTGGCTCGTCCTCTGCATCTCCCCAGGGCTGGTGTGACCCTGCGGTGCTGTGCGGTGGTGGAGAGCATCTGTCCCCGAAAGAAGATGAGATAGATCCCGAGATCATCCATCCTGGAGCACAAAAGGAGTGCAAGATCTGGGATAAAGGAGAACTTTGTGATACTTTTCTGGGTCCAGGTTGTTGAACGCATCTGTGGTGATGAGCAAGGCTGAGGTTGAGCTGGGAGCACAAGTCAGGGCCAGCAGCAGGTTTGGAGATGGTACCCAGGGAGATGCCAGGGATGTCCCTGCTGCTGGGAGAGGTCCCCAAACCCTCTGCAGGGATGTTCTGGGGGCTGATAAGAGCTGCCCACCTCCAGTGAGCACTGAGCAGCTCTGCCAGACGTCTCCTTGCTGTGTTTCGGGGTGCTCAGATAGCAGCGCTTCCAGCAGGTTTGCAGGAGCCCGGGGAGGTGCAGGCAGCGTGCGGCTGAGCCGGGACCCAACCGAGCCGAGCAGGCAGAAGGGTTCTGGGTGTCCTGCTGAGCAGCCACGGCGTGCACGCTGCCCGGAAGGGTGGACGAGGAGCTCTGCTGTAAACATGCCTCTCGCAGCCGTGGCCGGCGCTCGTTTCCTAAGGAAATTCCAGGCTCGTGAGTCCTGCCCCGGCTGTCGGGCAGGCAGGAAGGGGCAGGGGCCAGCGGGCTCCGGCACCCTCCCAGCGCCCGTGGCTGCGTGCTGGTGGTGGGGAAAGGTCCGAGGTGCCGGTGGCTCCGGGCTGGGGTTGGGCATCAGCAGCTGAGGGAGGGCAGGGCTCTGCTGGCCCCGTCCTGCTTCAACAAGGGTGATGCTGGGGTAACGCTTGGCTGTGTGCCCTTCCCTGAGTGTCTGGAGCAGACGGAAGGGGATGAGATGTTTCCAACACGATGCAGCACTTGCTTTAAGTGCCCGTGTAGCTCTCCCTGTGGTAGCAAGAGCTCTAAAGCATCCTTCGGTCTTTACCTCTTCTGATTCACCCCACGGTCTCCTTACCTCTGCCTGAGACCACGTCTGGTACTGCTGAGTTGTTCTCTGTGATCATTTTGGGTGGTGGCAGTGGAAGGGAATTTAAGGACCATATAAAATGTTTTCCCCAATTTGACACTTTCCATTAAATAATAATAATAATGCCTTCCATTCTGTGGCCTCTTTGGCACAGAGATTGTGGACAGAGTTATCCAGCTCAAGCCTTATTCCTTCACCTTGTCCTCACGTTCTCACCCAAATGGCCGCGTCATGCAGAGGAAACCCTTCTGATGGTTATCCACGGAGCTGTTAGGAAGGGCACAGGGACAGTTTGCTTGGCATGCATCTCTGGAACAGTGTCCAGGCTGCTTTGCACAGGTTTTCATGATCACCTGGAAGTTTTGTTAGAGCAGGAACCTTGTCCGAGCTTCCCAAACTGGCCGTTTCTCCCCTGCGCACAGTGCTGCTGGCTGCATTTGCATCTCACCTACCCGCTGTGTGCCTCCTCCCCAAATCAGCTGCTCTTTGGCAGCACAGTGCCTTGGAAGGGCTGAGAAATGCTGCTGCCCGAAAAGCACCTGCACAGGTACTGCTGAGGGGAGTGGTGGAGGAGTTCCTGACGGCTTTGATGTGTGCGTGCTCACTGCGCTTGCCTGCTTGAGATTTCTTTCGCAGGTTTTCAAATTAAGTCATCGAGGATTTAAAGGTAGAAAACACCTCTTATTTCCTCTGCTGCTTCCCACAACATACCCTGCAGGAGACATCCTTTTAGCCAAGATTGCAGATTGATGGTTGGGTGTGTGAACTGCGGGCTTTGTCTTGGGCTGATCCCCTCCCGGGGCTGAGCAGAGCACGTTAGGAGCAGCTGAACCACGCCACAAATTAACACGCAGAGCCTGAACCAAGTGGCAAAACATCGGGCCTGAACTGTTTACCAATAAGTAAGGAGACCTGCTTAATTCTTGTTGGGCTTAGAGATGTCCTCACTTTATCTCAAGGACTGTGTAATTAGAAAGCCTCCTTTGAATTTTATCTGCAGGCGCGCTGGGTCTAATCCCTTGCTCTGTCTGCTCTGCTTCTCTCCCCTAGAACCATGTGAGGGACGTTGCTGGGGCACAGGACACGCGCGGGGAGCACGAGCTTTGCCTTTCCCAGGATGGATCAGAGGAAGATCTGGCCTCGGGTACCGGACTCCGATGGCTGGTCGGTGGCTTTGCTCTGTCTCTTCCTGGCGTCGCTGTCCCGAAACGCGTCCGGCAGCGCCTTGTTCAGCACTTTCCACTCGGAGAACCGGGACTGGACTTTCAACCACCTGACCGTGCACCAAGGCACCGGAGCCGTCTACGTGGGAGCTATCAACAGGGTTTACAAGCTGTCGGGTAACCTGACCATTTTGGTGGCGCACAAAACCGGCCCCGAGGAGGACAACAAATCCTGCTACCCGCCCCTCATCGTGCAGCCATGCAGCGAGATCCTGACGCTCACCAACAACGTCAACAAGCTGCTGATCATCGACTACTCCGAGAACCGGCTGCTGGCCTGCGGCAGCCTCTACCAGGGGGTCTGCAAGCTGCTGCGCCTGGACGACCTCTTCATCCTGGTGGAGCCCTCGCACAAGAAGGAGCACTACCTCTCCAGCGTCAACAAGACGGGCACCATGTACGGCGTGATCGTGCGCTCGGAGGGCGAGGACGGGAAGCTCTTCATCGGCACGGCGGTGGACGGGAAGCAGGATTATTTCCCCACCCTCTCCAGCCGAAAGCTTCCCCGGGACCCGGAGTCGTCAGCGATGTTGGATTATGAGCTCCACAGTGACTTTGTCTCGTCCCTCATTAAAATCCCCTCAGACACCTTGGCCCTCGTGTCGCACTTTGACATCTTCTACATCTACGGCTTCGCCAGTGGCAATTTTGTGTATTTTTTGACTGTCCAGCCAGAGACCCCAGAGGGTGTCTCCATCAACTCTGCCAGCGACCTCTTTTACACGTCTCGCATCGTCCGCCTCTGCAAGGACGACCCCAAATTCCACTCCTACGTCTCCCTGCCCTTCGGCTGTGTCAAGGGGGACACGGAGTACCGCCTGCTGCAGGCTGCCTACCTTTCGAAGCCGGGAGACGTGCTGGCCAGGGCCCTCAACATCACGGCCCAGGAGGACGTCCTCTTTGCCATTTTCTCCAAGGGACAGAAGCAGTACCATCAGCCACCGGACGACTCCGCACTCTGCGTCTTCCCCATCCGCACCATCAACGCCCAGATCAAGGACCGCCTGCAGTCCTGCTACCAGGGCGAGGGCAACCTGGAGCTCAACTGGCTGCTGGGCAAGGACGTCCAGTGCACCAAAGCGGTAAGGATGCCCTTGAGTTGACTCTTGTAGCCTTTGGTATCAGTACAGGGCCCTGTGGTATACAGGTTGCAGGGTAGGGTTAATCTTTCCGTGCCTCAGTTTCCCCAAACGTAGATGGATGCAGCAGTCCTCTTTCTTTTTAATCCCTATTGTTATCAGGCAGTCAGGGATGACAGCGAAGGGAAGGGATAGCACTGAGGCAGACAAATAAAGGTGTGCTGCTTGTCGGAAAGGTTTGCTGTTCCCTGCCTCGGGCCCTGGGAGCTGGAGGAAGGCTCTCACCTTCCTGCAGCAGGAGGGTGGTATCAGCAAACCACCAAGGTAAATCCAAATGACAGCTGAATCTTTTGTGGTTTCCTGCAGCTGATTTCTTTAATCTTGATCACATGCAGATTGTTCTAGGGCTGACTTGAGAATCCCTGGGGCCTTCTTTCGCCAAGCATATTAAGTTTGGCTGCTGGGAGGAGATAAACGTGCAGGTTAAATGAAATGAAAGAAGGAAAGGAAAACGCTGGCTCACGCAGGGGGGAGAGGGGGAAATGCCCCACGGCCCCTCTCCCCCCACCACCCACTCCCCTCTCTGGGATCCTGACTGCCCAGGGCTGCTCCGTGCCCTGAGTTTTGCTCACAGCTGCCCCAAATCTTCTCTTTCCAGCCCGTTCCGATCGACGACAATTTCTGTGGGCTCGACATCAACCAGCCCCTGGGCGGCTCGGTGCCGGTGGACGGGGTGACGCTCTTCACCTCCAGCCGGGACCGGATGACTTCTGTGGCTTCGTACGTCTACAACGGCTACAGCGTGGTGTTTGTGGGGACTAAAAACGGCAAGCTGAAGAAGGTAAGGTTATTTCTGTGGCTTCGGAGAGCCAGGATCCATTTTTCTTCGCTCTTGGGAATCTCTGATACCTGTGGCTGCTGCTGTGTCTTGCCAGTATTTCCCAGTGTGAAACTGGGAGCTAGGAGGGAGCAAAAATAAGAGGGCTTGGGGTCAGGGCACGAAATGGTGAGGATGTTCCAGAGCATCCCTGCCGTCAGGGGATGCTCGCACCAGCACCTTCCTTCAGCAGCGGGTCAACGCGGGTCTCAGCACCGGGCTGGCTCCTTCACACGCTGCCTGTCTGTGTATTACAGCGTTAGCCTGTTTGTTTGTTGGGTTTTGCGTTGTTTTCAGCATTTGATCATTCAGAGAACTGTGGCGTGTGTTGGTGGGGCTGTTGCAAAAATCAACAGGGCAATAATGGGCTGGGCAGAGGGAAGTGAGGAGCTGGCTCCGGTTGTGGAGTGTGGCTGAGAGCGAACCTCAGCGAAACGTGCTCAGAGGGTTCGGATATTTCCCAGTTTGTGTAGAAAACCGAGCATGAGAGCTTTGGGGGTTTGCTTTGGCGATGGCAATAGCGCTGACGCTGGCAGATTTTTGGGCCAGGGAATGGGTTAACTTGGCTGCACTTGGAAACCAAGCCGCAGGGCAAAGTCCTCCTGCTCTGTGCCTCCCTCTTCCCCCAGACAGCTGGATGAGTGATCCAGCCTGGAAGATAAAATTCCTCACCCTTTGCATCACAAAAGCTGGGGCTAGTTGCCCAGGGCTAAGAACGTCTCCACGCTGTTTTCTTCTCCCAGCAGCAGGAGCTGGGGGACCGCTGGGTGGGTTTTAAGGTTCTGGAGTTGAATTGGGATTTTTCCCCTTCTATTTCCCCCAAAAACTTCTCTTCAGTAAGTGGGCTACAAAGGCAGGTCTGGTCAGTCACCCATCTGTTGAGTGTGGTCCTCGGGAGTCCTGTATAGCAACTGAGTGTGGAAATGGTCCTGGGGACATGGAATTGGGACCAGCTGCTGGAGGGGACCTCCCTTGCTGTGCTTCTCCATCACGGCTACAGCTGGAAGCCGGCTCCTCGGTACGGGCAGGCACTGGGTCCGGCCCCAGCAAAGCCAGCGTCAGAGACGTTGCTCTGGAAAGCTGAGATCCTTCAAATTACATTAACATATAAAAAAACCAGCACTTGGTGAACCTGCTGAATGCAGACCCTGCTCCCCCGTGCCATGGAAAGAGTTAACAAATGTAATCAACAGCAGGCTGTTAATTTTTTGTGTCCTTAAGCAGCAGGGAATTTCTTCCTCATCTATCCAGGAAGATACAAGGACAGGCAGATCCTACACTTGAATGTCTGCATCATTTTAATTACATCAGCTCATTAATATTCATTCGGCACTTTACAAGTGCTGAGCAGTAGTAAATTAGGTGCCTCCCTGGTGCACGGGGCGATGCTGAACAGGGGGGAGCAGGGGCTGGAGCGCACGGACCTGGCCGAGGGGCTGGGAGCAGCACCCTCAGCATATTGCAGGTGCATATGCTGCCGAGCTGTGCAGGCGGCCGTGCTGCTTGCTGCTGAGTGTTTTGGGGGGAGCCGGGGAGGTGCCGCATTTAGAGGCAGTTAGAGCAAACAGCTTGTGCCTGCACACAAGGTATTTACTGTAGCGTTGCATTAATTATGTCGGATTACAGAAGAAGCCTTCTCTCCAGCAGGGTTTAATTCCTTGTGCTGGTCTATATTGTAGACCCACTTAAACACCTACCTTCCTGGTGCAAAGTTAATCTGTTTATGCCCATCCACTTCACTGCTTTGGGGCTGGGGGAGGAGGGATGTGGGGATGGTCCGGGCTCTACCTGCTGCTGGAGCCGGCGGCGAGCAGGTGCTGAGAAAATTGGTTCATGTCTCCAGCGAGGCTGTTCCAGACGTTTGTTACAGTCAGCCTTCGGTGGCATCTGCCAAGCACCTTCCTGACAGGCAGCAGCGTGCTGTGCTGCTGCTCAGCCCCGTGCCTCCTGGTACCCGTATCACTGCCCTGTCCCGTGCTGCGTGGCGCTGGGGATGCTCTCTGTCTTCTGGTCCTGTCCATGCTTTCAGTAAATCTATTCCTTTTTGGCACGTGGGGTTATCTTTTATGTGGCCTCAGAGGCTGTGTGAAGCATGGGGAGCAGCTTTGCTGGGAGCTGGGGGGCTCCTGGGGCATTTTTTGCCCTTGTGGTCCCCGGATCCGTGCGTGCTCCACCACCAGGCACGTCCGTGAGGGCGCGGGATGCTCAGGGCTGTAAACGTTTCTGTCTCTCCTTCTCCACGTGCGAAATGAGGACAGTAAAAATGTGCATACTTCTGTAAGTGCCAGAGATTTGCAGATAAACACCTCTCCTCCGTCTCACCACCCTGCACATCTACCTCCACAGCGATGTCTGGGAGCTGCGTCATGCCTATTCCCTCTCCCGCAGTTGTTGATTTACTTTGGAAGCGAGCTGGTGGCTCAGGCTGGGATTTCAAAGCAGAGACTTTTGTGTAGCTGCAGGAAAGAAGTCAGGGAGCCAGCTCTGAAATCTCTTACATTTGTCTGTGCTTTCCCCGTGAGAGTTCATTGCCGAAAACTCGGCGTTATCTCCCTGCTGTCCTTCCCGTTAGGCACTCACCTGCCCGCCTCATGCGCGTCCCCCTGGGGGGCAGCTGCTGCTTCAGCCTCTGCCCCAAGGAGCTGGATGCTGAAGGTCCCCAGGCCCCTGTTTTTTCCCAGCCCTACCCTTTCTCTGTTTCCTGGGGTGTGTTTGAATTGCCTTTCCCCATCCCCAGCAGGGGCTGGGACCTGTTTTGTGCCTCTCTCAGCCACCTTGCGCAGCCGGCGCAATAGCGCGCGCACCTCTCAGCCCTGTCCTTGCTGAAGGGAAAAGAAAGAGTCAATAGATCATTCAAATCATTCAAACCCTGTGCCGGCAGAGGAATTTGCTCACATAGCACTGCCTCATCCAGCCTGCCACCCTGCCATGGGGCTTGCCTTGGGCAGGGGGTGCTCGGTGCCTGTGGCCGCCCAAGGGGCTGCAGGATCACTCCTGGGGCTGCACCCTGTGCACAAGAACCCCAAGGCATGGGAGGTGAGCGGGCAGCCTGGCTCCCCGGCAGGCTGGTTTTGAGAATTACCAACCCTCAGCAGTTTTCTCTAAGTGGGTGAAGAGCAAATGTGCTGATGAGGCTGTGACCTTCTGGATAAAGCACGGTACGCGGGGTCCTGCTCTCCCCGCAGCTTGGTGCTCCGGCTCTCCGGCACAGGGCTCGGCTTTGTGGCTGGGGGAGCAGAGTGGGTAATGGGATCATATTAGAGATGTAACTGCTCAGAATTGTGGCTTCCTGCAATAAAGCAATTTTCATCGAGCAAAATTAGAAGAGACATTAATGCAACAGTTAACAGCAACTAACTGCTGGGGGGAGATGTGTCGGCTTGCTTGCTCTGTTTATGGGCTTTATACAATTCCATCAATATTGATGTGTGATGCCTTTGATTTTGACACTAATCATTGCTATGAATTAAATTTGCAGCCATATAATTAGGACTGCTATTAATAGGGCCTCAAGCTAAGCACTGCTGCGTTAGTTGTCTTTTTCCTGATGGAAAACGGCATCCACGGAACTCAGCTAATGTGGTTTGCCTGGTAGATGCTGAGGCTGATGTGAAAATTATACTTGCTATATTTAGAGGGGCTCGTCTGAAAGGCAGAGGAATGGGAAGGGTCAGACTCTGAGGTTTCCTGAGAGCTACACTGGAGTCACTCGTAAACTTCCTAGGAGTTTGCTGCTTTCCTCCTCGGGCACAAAGGCTGAGTGGGAGAGAGCAGGACTGCAGGAAGAAAAGAGTGAGCCTCGGCTGTCAGGCCTGAAGGCTGCTATTGCAAGCTTTATTCCTGTTTTAGCTGCCTTGTGCAAATCTCTCCGTTTATTTCCCTTACCCAATGCTGTTTCAAGTCTCTGTCCCTGTGCGTGCCCGGTTTCATCTCAGCAGGCTGAGCACAGTGGCTGGTTGGCAGCATGGCTCACCACTAAAATCAATCTTGTATTTCATCCCAAGAGGTGTGTTTCTTATTAGATCTAATAAATCAGTGAAGTGCCCTTCATTCAGCTTGTCAATGGAGGACATTGTTTGTGATCAAGAATAAATAAATGTCTCTTCTATGTCTGACGGTGCACAGTCCAAGTATTATTTTGCCATCATGCTGTTTATGCCTGCTCTGGACAAATCTCAGTTCCTGCAGTGGCTCGGAGCCTCGCTGTGCCTCGGGAGGTCTGGGACACGCTTCCAGCAGTGACTTCCAGCTACCCGGGGCAGGCTCAGAGGCTGCTCTCTGCATCCAGACATTGCTTCTACAGAGCCAAGTGCTCTGCGTTGGCTGTCTTCAGTGTCCTTGGCGTTACAGACAAGAACTCAGGGGTGGGGGTTGGTTACTCCAGGTGCCAGGAGGTGAAGGGGATGGTGTCTGCATCTCAATTCCTGCCTGATCCTCCTGGGCTAATGGGGTCAGTCGCTGTCCTACCCAGCCACAGCGCGCTGTCCCACTTGCTCTCCTACATGGCTTGAATCAATCCTGGCGTGCAAGGTCACCCGAGAGAGGAGCTGGTTGGGATCTGTCGGGTGGAAAAGTACTGCAGAAAAATCTGCAGTGCTGTGCCCAGCTTTCACGTTTGGAAGTGGGATTGTGCCCACCCATTGCGTGCCCGATGACAGCGCCTTGTGCTGTCTGTCCTTGCTTTCAGCGAACCCCCACCGTGGTAGGGGACGGGGATAACTGATGGGTGACACAGGCAGGGGAACGGCGAACTTCTGAGTGTATTGTTATGTCCTGGTATGCAATGGTTTTATTCGGCCTGGATGATTTAATTTGTTCCATTAGTGGGAATAAAATAGATGTTTCACCATGAAATATATGTCCGGACCTGTCCTTAGCTGACTTCATTCTACGGATAGTTATCTCATCCTTTTAATTTATCCTTAATTATCTCCTCCACGCACATTCTTGGAGCACTTTAGGAA